CTCCTGTCACCCCACTTACATGCAGGATTTACACACCTGTCATCGAGTGGCCAATAGGAGGAGGTGTGGCTGGAGACATAAATCAAGTATGTTCATAATTCATTGATGGATTAACACAGAAAAGTTTGTTTGTACACGAAGGCTCACAACCTGGCCATACATGTTCCTTGGCCGGTTCCATGACAAAACCCCAACGGGATTGTCATTTGTCAACACTAACCTAGCCTAACCTAACCTAAGCTTAAAAGCGTTTTATTTTATATTTTAAATATGAGACTGGGGTTTTGTCCGTTGGGGTTTTATCCGGTCACCTCCTTGGCCACCCCATTATTGACCTTTGCTGCGCCGGGAAAACTTGACTGCCTGTACCGGTCAACACCTGTAATTTGTGTTTTTATTTTTGGGAAATAAAGAACTTGGATCATTTGAGTCCTCAGAAACGATCACACTGAAGAGACGTCAGTGTTGGGTACCATTAATAATAATAATAATAATAATAATAATAATAATAATAATAATAATAATAATAATAATAATAATAATAATAATAATAATAATAATAATAATAATAATAATAATAATAATAATAATAATAATAATAATAATTAACGGTTTATTGAAAGAGCATGGCAGCCGGAAGGCTGAAAATATACCATTATATAATTGGGGAATAGGTCTCTTGATTTACAAATGTAACATAGTTAGGACTGGGCTGTTCTTATAGCAATCAGTTCGTGCTCGTATGGGCTGGATGCAGTTGGGCAGGTGTGTGGCCACATGGCCAGGACAGTAGCTTGGGGCAATGCAGCCTTAACAACATCAACCTAGAGAAGTCGACTTGTGAAAGAGACCTAGGGGTACTTGTAAGCCCGGACCTACGGCCCAGAAAACAGTGCGTTAATGTTCGAAATAAGGCAAACAGAGTATTGGGTTTTATATCTAGAAGTGTAAGTAACAAGAGTGCAGAGGTCTTATTGCAACTTATCTTGCGCTAGTCAGGCCGCACCTCGATTATGCGGTTCAGTTCTGGTGCCCCTATTATAGAATGGATATAAATTCACTAGAGTCGGTGCAGCGAAGAATGACAAAAATGATTCCGGGACTTAGAAACCTTCCATATCAGGATAGGTTAAAGAAACTTAACTTGCATTCCCTAGAAAGACGAAGAGTGCGGGGAGATATGATAGGTATTTAAGTGGGTGAAAGGAATCAATAAAGGGGAGATAAAGTTCTTATAATATCCGAGCAGGATAGGACTCGGAGCAACGGATTCAAGTTGGATAAGTTTAGGTTTAGGAGGGAGATAGGAAGAAACTGGTTCACAAATAGGGTGGTGGACGAGTGGAACAAGCTTAGCAACTTTGTAGTAAGTGCGGGAACTCTGGAAAGTTTCAAAAGGAGGCTAGATAGATTCATGGATGATAGAGAGTGGTAGTAACTCTCGACAGGAGCTGCCATGCACAGGCCAACCGGCCTATTGCAGACTCCTTGTTTTCTTATGTTCTTATGTTCTTATGTGTGCTCCATCCTTCAGGTTAGGTCAGGTCAGGTGAAGCCGTGAGGTCAGGTTAGGTCAGATCCAGTCACTCTCAGTGTTACACTGCTGTGTTTTTGTGCTTTTCCTTGGAGTGCACTATAGGAACACTGTTTGGTAGTCGATCGTTCACTGATCACTTGAATGTTTTGCTGAATAAATCCCGGTGTAGTAAGGCTGGTAGGGCGTAGCAGGGGGAGGGGGGCAGACAGACTCGGCCTGGCTGCTCAAACAGGGAGCGCCTTCAGGGAACGTCTTGTCTTGCTGGTGGTTGATAAGGGTATGTGTGTGTGTGTGTGTGTGCGCGCTTCATCACCTAAAGTCTTTGTGTAACTAATTTAGTAATTACACTGGTTCATAAATAATTAAGAATTTTAAGAGATACAAATTTTTCTGTATAAATGTAGTTATTACTCAATTATTATTATTATTATTATTATTATTATTATTATTATTATTATTATTGTTATTATTGATTTGTTGTTACTGTTCTCTTTTCATACTACTACTAATAATAATAATTGAGTAATGAAATATAATTATAATGATAATATCACTAATTGGTCCTATTCATATATACTGGTCAATGTTGAGGTAAACAAGATCTAGATAGTATCCATTATTGTTCATGTTGTTGTTTGTTTATGTAAGTCAACCTTGGCATAATAACACCAAAGTAACTGGTATATTTGTCTCATATTGCTAGAGAGAGAGAGAGAGAGAGAGAGAGATTTCGTTCCTTGTTCAGAAATCCTCCTTGATGTTAACACCGTCCAGCAGGTAATAATACGTGACATAATGATAATAATGAAGACTAGAGGGAGTGAATAAGATACACAAGTTGTCTTACATCTCATTTATTCATATGACTGGGCGCCAAAGCATCAGCAGGCAAGGGAGTTGAACACAATGTAAACAGTATAATGCATCATCACAAAACAGACATAGTATAACATGAGTCTGGCGTGAACAGTTATATACAACACACCAACAATACAATAATAAAACACAATTGGGCCTGATCATCCTTGGCAACAAAACCGAAAAAAAATCGCACATATATATATATATATATATATATATATATATATATATATATATATATATATATATATATATATATATATATATATATATAAACTAACAAAAAAACAAAAGTTATATCTGCCAACTCTTGTGGCGCCCACCCTATATAATAAACATAGTACATGACCTTTATCTGCTACAAAAATACCATGTATCATATTCTCTGAAAATAACAATTATATTTGATTTACACACAAACACGGGGACTTTGACACGTAGCTGGCCCGAGACTTGGGGCACCCAGTGGTCACTTGTCGTAAGGCTAACAAACACATCTTGCTTTTAATGTTTTGCTTTTAGATCGATGTTGAAAATTATATATATATATATATATATATATATATATATATATATATATATATATATATATATATATATATATATATATATATATATATATATATATATTTTATACTTTGATAAAATTCACTTAGAAGAATTATTTTATCACAATGTTTTTTTTTTTACAAGAGTTTAGTTGAATTCATTGCAAGATGTATTATTTAACGTAGATTCGTACACACTAAAACATATTAATGGTACATTGTATGACAAGCGAGATAAAGCCTTACAGACAAGGGACTTAAGGCCCACATTCGTCGGACTCGTCTCAGGATATGCTTCACTTGTACTTGACCTAGCGACCTATGACGACGGGAAGCGGGCCTGTCACCACCGTCCTGACACTGTTGTCCCGGACATCTGTCACGCTGTCACGGCAGAGTGAAGGTGTTTTGGGGAATGTTTGTCACTTGTTGAGTATAATAAAAACAATGTTGAGCCACCACTGTCATGATGAAACCGGGAGTGGCCCATGTCATGTTGTCACGGGGAGGGTGTGTGTGTGTGTGTGTGTGTGGTAATGTTTATCACTTGCTTGGTGTCAATAACGTTCTCCTATCCTGGCAGTTAAATGTTGTCAGGCTTGAAATGCCATGTCAAATGTTGGCAGAAAAGGAGATTTGATCGCCTGATAAACTGTTGTCAGAATGAGTTATGTTGAAATCACAGTTACCAACCATCATCATAAGTTGTCAAGAAAAATTACAGTAATAAAATGACAATCACCTCGACATAATTAACAAGTGATTTAAGTACTGTATTATAATCTTTAGGAAAATATTGTCATAGTGCCGTGCCATTTATCTGTCACGCTACGCCATTTTATGTTGTCAAGTCATGTAATTGTCAGATCATTTTAACTTTGTATTTGTCATGTCCTTCAATTGTGTCATTTTGTTGATAATTTCTTTTTGACTGCCATAATTTGGTCATCATCTTGGCTGACATGTCATATTTATTGTCAAGTCATTGTGATCGGTATGTCTTTCTTCGGTCGTGAAAGTCTTTTAGTCATCATGTCATTTTGTCTGTCATGTCATTGTGATTATGTTATTTTGATTGTCATGTCATTATGATTGTCACGTCACTTTAGTACATTTTAAACTACTATGTTACCCTAATTAGAGCTGGTTGTTATGTCAATATTAAACATGTAGTTGTCAAGTCGTGTCTCTCGGATTGTCAAAGTTGTCAGTCATGTCACAGTCGTCTAACTCGTTGTCAATAGTCATTTAATGAGGTAAATGTGACATAATCGGCCATGAAATCGCTTATGTTAGGAATAAATGTCCCTGTTTAGTCAATGTCAAAATATGTCATCTCATCAGTCATCTAGTGCTGTAAATGTCTTCCAAAATGAGTCGGTCGGTTGATGCTGGTAGGTAGGTGTGTCTCAAACGGTCATATTCTGTCGTAAATGTCTCGTTCAGTCGTGTTGAAAATGTCCCACAACTCCACCAAGGAATGAAAAAATGCTTGAAAATATCCGTCATACAGTGTGGATATTAAAAATGTGACGATGTGGATGTTAAAAAATATGACAGTGTGAATAAAAAAATGACAGTGTGGATATTAAAAAAAATGACAGTGTGAATAAAAAAAATATGACTGTGTGGATGTTAAAAAAAATGCGAGTGTGGATGTTTTACCCTAGTGTGGAAGGAGGGAGGGGGGGTGGAAAAGGTCACTCGAGAGTTTTGTACACTTAAGGCCTCAACGAGTTTGGTAAATGTCAGACAAGCTTTATTGTGATCGTCCAAAAGGTCATTTAAACAGGCATTACGGCAAGGTTATTACTGCTGTCATAACACCTGTCTGTCTACCTGTCTGTCAATGCCTGTCTTTGTCTGTCACCGGGATTATTGTTGTCATAAAGGTCGCTTAGTTTGTGGAGTTCGGTTATATACAGTGAGGATTGTGGTGTTGGCTTAGAGGGGTAGTAGATGTATGGTGTAGACTGACAGTGAAAGGTGTATGGTGGCGTAACACTGTATCTCTTGTGTATGGCTCGTGGTGCAAGGTTATAGTGCAACAGTGATTCATTATCATATTTATTTACCGTGTTTAACACGTCGTCAATGAGTCAACAGTACAAGTCAGCATATTAATTAAAGTCAGTCGTTCAGTTCAGTTGGGTATACAGTCAGTAAGTAGTGCGAATACCAAATCAGTGACTTAAATTCGTTCACTGAGCCATTGGATTGAGTCAGAAACACAGGTACATACAGTGAGTCAGCAGAGTCAATATTACAAGTGAAGTGAGTCCCAGTAGAGCCGGTAATACAAGTACAGTGGATCAGTAGAGTCATTAAAGTCAATTATACATGTCCAGTGAGTCAGCAGAGCCAGTAATACATGTACAGTGAGTCAGTAGTCAATAATACAAGCAAAGTGAGTCAGTAAAGTCAGTAAAGTCAATAATACAAGTTAAGTGAGTCAGTAAAGTCAGTAATACATGTATAGTGAGTCAGTAGGGTCCGTAATACATGTATAGTGAGTCAGTAATACATATACAGTGAATCAGTAGAGTCGGTAATAAAAGTAAAGTCAGTAAAGTCAGCAGTACAGTTTCAGTCAGTAAACCAAGTGCATTCATTCAGTCGAGTCATTGATACAAGAGTACTGAATCACTCGAATTTATAATATAAATGTACCGAGTCAGTTGTATCAGTGACATGTTATGATTCAGTGGAGTCAGTAAACAAATGCAGTCATTCAGTAGTGTTTACTGAACAATCAACAAAGTTTCCTGATACATTTGCCACGAATCAGTAGTATATGCGTAAATCATAGTCAGTTGATTCCGTAATACTCGTGTACTGAATCAGCAGCATCTGTGCATACATAGTGATTTACGTAGACAAGTGCACTGAGTCAGTAAAGTCGATAACGCAAATAAGTGGAGTCAGTAATGCAAGTACAATGAGTCAGTAGATTCACATACATACACACTGAAGCAGTATAGTTCGTAATGCAAATGAACTGAGTCAAGAGTCTTCAGTACAATTGCACTGAGTCAGCAGCGTGTACAATAGCAAAAAGTCTTAAGGTCATTTATCATGTGCACTGAGTCAGAAACACGTAGGTATAGTCAATGAGTCAGTAACATCGGTTCACTGAATCAGTAGCACACAGGTCTTCCCTGAGTGTTATTATGGCCCTGAGTCAATTAAGTCATTTCTTTTCAGTAGTCAGTAACGACAGTTTAATCATTCGCACGAGTCTAGTCACTCAGTCCAGTCGCTCAGTCAATCCAGTCAATACGTATTTTACGATAGTGTAAATCGTTTAGTCAGTCTAAAAGTTCAGTTTATTCAGTCAGTCTAAAAGTACAATCGTTCAGTCTAGATATACAGTACAGTCGTTCAGTCAGCCTAAATGTACAGTCGTTCAGTCAGTCTAAAAGTAGAGCCGTTCAGTCAGTCTAAAAGTACAGTCGCTCAGTCAGTCTAAATGTACAGTCGTTCAGTCAGTTTTAAAGTACAGTCGTTCAGTCAGTTTTAACGTACAGTCGTTCAGTCAGTCTAAAAGTACAGTCGTTCAGTCAGTTCTAAAGTACAATCGTTCAATCAGTCTAAAAGTTCAGTTTATTGAGTCAGTTTAAAAGTACAGTCTAGTAACTCTTTAAAGTCCGTTCATTCAGAAAGTCATATTTGTTTAATAACTTCAGCAAGTTCAAACATTCACTGAGTCAGAAGTCAATCAGATCGTTCAGTAACTCCCAAGTAAAATCAAGTCCTGGTAATCCGTCAAGAAAGCAGCTCTTAAGTTCACGTCATTCAGTATATGAAGAAAAAAAATCACTTCATTCAATGTATAATTAATTTATATGTTGGTCAGTCGACTACAGATGCCAAAGTCCAAATGTATAGTGTCATTAAGTCCAGCATAGCTTCTTATTTCTATATTATTCACCATTCATTCAATCACTTAAGTTTGTACATACAGTTTCTTCAAAGTCTTTGTTCCTTTAGTAATAGTTATACAAACTGTAATGAATAAACTTGTATTATTATATTAAGTGTATAAGTTCAGATTATAGTACAGTATATATATATATGGGGATAAGGTTATACTATGTTTGTATATAAAGTGGAATTGGTCAGTCTAGCCAGTCTAATTAAGCAGTAAATGTGTTTGAATAAATAATAATTAATGATCAATACAATTGTGTAAAATGGAAATCATCAAAAAAATTATGAATGTTAGAGAAATCAGTCATGCGTTCCTCGTACAGTCAGGTCTTCAGTGTACGGTCAAATCTTCCGAATCAATCAAACCGATTCACAAACAGTCACCAGTTACATAGAGTTGTTGAACCAGTTACTATGTCTAAGATGTAATGTTAAAGTATTATTCCATAAATAAATCACAGTTACACATCAGTCCAGTCTAATGATATGGTTTACAAAGTGAGATCAGTCAAGTAGGTATCCCTGCCATTCAGTCAAGTTCACAGAATTTTCAGTCCATCCAGCAGTAAGTCAGTCAGGTAAATAAAGTCTGTCAAATGTGCATGACAACAGGTTATATATATCGACAATATACAGTTGTCAGTAATCGCAACTTCACTGAACGGCAGCTTTTTGGTGTAGTGTTTCGTTTTCTGTTGAGGGTGTCCACTGTCCACAAAGAAAATGGCCAGAGTATTAAGTCATTTCTTCAATATATATTTGCCAGTTATTTGTAAATAGTCATTGTAGTTTACCCTCTGAACTACACCTCCCTTGAAAGGCAATATCAAAAGGTCACTTCAGGTTAAAGAGAAGGTCAGCTGAGGTCAAACATTACAGTCAGTCAGGCTTTAAACTCTAAACAAAGGTCAACAGTCAGATAGATGGGTCAGTTATAATTCAAGTCAAAAGTGCAAAGTTGGTCGACCTCATTTACTGAGATCAAACATCAGTGGGTCACAACACAGGTAGGGCGAGAGAAATTCATCCTCGTATCCCACAACATCATGTCAACGGTGTACAGTCAGTCAGCAGTGCCAGTACATTCCGGGTCAAGTTAGTTGGTAAGTCAATTAAGATGTGTTTGTCAAGCAAAGTGTGGGTATGTATGTCATCACCTGGCTTGGTCATTAAGCCGGTGAGAACATCTGAGTCATCGCTTGGTCTAGGTCATGAGATCGATGAGTAAATGTGAGTTCTCGTCTGGTCATGAAGTCGATGGATGAAATGTATGTCTTCTTTTGACTTTGGTCATGAGTCATTGAGTGTTGTAATCATAAACACGATGAGTCATTTTCGTTGTCTGGTCTGATAACTACTATTCGTCAATCTAGAGTCAGCTGAGTCAGCAGGTACCTCCAATTAGGGATGAGTTTTGGGGCACTACATGTTTCAGGTCCGAGACCGGCAAGTGGCCTGGTAGGTTGGTAGGTAGGCAGGCGGGACAAAACATAATAATTGTTACGGTCAGAGGTCGATGGGATGGTCAAAGGGAATGACTACGGGTGTGGACAAAACAGTACAGGTCGGTGGGTCAGAGGTGCCCGTCCGCGAGCAGGCGGGTCAGACACATCAAAATAAACTATTATATCACAGGTTAAACACGTCACGCTCAACACCTCATACGGGTGGGGAGATCCTCTGGGGCGGCACGAGGCTGGCCCCTTACTCGGTGGCCCTCGGGCTGAGGACTTATGCCAGCAGCTACAACGTCCGGGCTGCCCAGGGCTTGGAAACATAACAAGGGTTTTGAGAAAAAACTAATAATATCATCACATTAGGGCCTGGGTGACGGCATCTAGGACCTAAGTAACACAGGATTATAGGGAAAACCTAACAGGAACGAGAGTCCGTTGTGGCAACTTGTGAGAGGGGGGCCAGTGGGCGGTGTAGGAGAGGGGGGGGCCTTGTGAAGGCAGTTGTGACTGGCTGGTAACAAGTTGTTGTGGGGGACGGGGGAGGGGGAGCCCAGCTGACCCGCCCCCTCCAGGCACTAGCGACTGGCTGGTAACATACGAGTGTGCTGGGGAAGCACACTTGGGGGGGGAGGGGGAGAGGCACCAGAGGTACATCGTAGTCACAAAGGGGAGCAGCAAGAGGCACCAGGCAGGAGTTAGGGAGACATCGAGAGGCTGTAGGATGAACCAGATATCACTCATCACTCAGTTTTATGGACACGAAAGAGGCGAGGTTTTGCCAGAAGTTGAGTACACTCATATTGACGATGTCCTCAAGGTCAGCGGGGCACTGGCTGTAGGCGTGGCCACAGTCCACGCCCGCCACGCCCCTCTCAGCTGCCCAGTAATAACGGAAGAAGCGAAACACCACCGGGCTGTAAGTGGACGGCCGGGAGAACGACTCGCTCTTCCTGAAATACAGAAAAAAATCATCATATTAGTCACTTTACAAAGGTCAACTAATAATGTATAATTTGCATAATTGCAAAGTGTCCCAGTCAAACAACTGAGGACACAGGTTAACTGCTTGTGTTGAAACAGGACACTGAACGACATGCCTTCATAAAGTATATATATATATATATATATATATATATATATATATATATATATATATATATATATATATATATATATATATATATATATATATATATAACTAAGAGACTCTTTTCATAGTACAGTACAGTAATCTATAATTGACAGGACAAAGACAAAACATAGAGGGAGTTAGCGTCCACACCATTTGTTAAAGCACCCACAGTATCTTACCGGGGTGTGTTCAGTGTTTGTTTGTCTTGTGAAGATGTGTAGCACGTGCAGAGTGTGTCGGAGGTGTTCAGGGTGTTCAGGGTGTGTCGGCGGTGAGTCAGCACCAAACTGGTAAACACATCAACTCCTAAAGAACCAACAGCCATGTTTATTTCTAGTTATAATGGTAAATTCACGTCATATCATGAAGACATGCGCACTCACATTAACAAAAAAAAGTGCTGACTTCGAGGACAACTTGCACTCCACCCCCTGCAAGTCTTGAACGCATGGCTGTATCAGCGGGAGGACTTACCACGGCAGGCGTCTACGTAGTGTGACCACTTCGCTGGTGCCACCACGGCGGCTCGCTGTACCGGGTGCTGGTGTGTGTGTGTGTGTGTGTGCTGGTCTTGGGCACCATGCGAGCAAGGTCAGCATGTTTGCTAGTATTGCCACTGTCCACCGAGTGCCTTGCCGCCTGCCCTTGCCAGTTGGCCCCCTTCATCCCACCTGTCAGCTCACCACGTGCCCCCCCCTCCCTCCCCACCCAGAAGGTGGCTAAGGAATATTTAATGTAACATCGCGGAAATGGAGGCAGAGAAGCGATCGTCACTTCACAGATCCAGATTCTAGAAAGGTGCTTCCGCGTGACAACAAGTCAAGTGCGTGTTAGAATTCGGCCTTGTGATCACCACGCCTGGCAACCCTCACCACAACTCTTTCATTTTTGAGTTAAGAGTAGACTTTATCTAAGGAGTTTTTAGAAACCAAAGCAGCAACACGTGTACGAGACCGCGGTGGGGAGGTCACGAGCGGCCGCAGTTACTTGATTGGGTGTATGTCTTTTTGTTCATCTTGTTCCAATGTAAACACAAGAAAGTATTTCTTTAATGTTTATGTTGTTGATGTTTGCAGGAATCACAAAAATACAATGTATTGTTAAGTAAAGAGTTAAGGAGTATCTTGACCTGTGAAACTCTGAGTAAGTGAACCTTGACCCTGAACCGTTAAAGATAAAAATAAGATGCTGAGAAATTCTTGCACATCTCACATACATGGTATAATTATCGTCTTTCATGCCCGGTAACCATCATACAGGTCGCCGTGTTTCTTCATCATCCTCACCAACACAAAAGTACGGTGTCGTGTTGGACAACCCTAGTGACCAACCAGTTGGTGTACGTCGTGATCATCAGGTCGGAATGTCATGGCAGCGCCACTTCTCTGTCGGCAGACAAGACTGACCGGCTCAGACGACCTTCATTTTTTAAGTTGTTCCTCGAGACGCGTACGGCAAGTTCCTGATAATCGTGGCCCGCTTATAAAGGATTGCACACCCTCGAATCAACTGGCTAGCGAACAAGGACGTCATCACAACACCAAAAGTGTTTTAGTTATGCCGCGTGTCCTAGTGGTTGACACCAGAGAGGAGAGTGCCAACAGGAAGCACCCGGGAGGAGTGTTACAGCAGGAGGCACCCGGGAGGAGTGTACCAGCAGGAGGCACCTGGGAGAAGTGTACCAGTAGGAGACACCGGGAGAATTGTACCAGTAGGAGACACCGGGAGAAATGTACCAGCAGGAGGCACCCGGGAGGAGTGTACCAGCAGGAGGCACCCGGGAGGAGTGTACCAGCAGGGAGGAGTGTACCAGCAGGAGGCACCCGGGAGGAGTGTAGGCAGGAGTGTACCACACCAGGAGGAGTGTACCAGCAGGGGCCAGGGAGTGTACCAGCAGGAGGCACCCGGGAGGAGTGTACCAGCAGGAGGCACCCAGGAGGAGTGTACCAGCAGGAGGCACCCGGGAGGAGTGTGCCAGCAGGAGGCACCCGGGAGGAGTGTACCAGCAGGAGGCACCCGGGAGGAGTGTACCAGCAGGAGGCACCCGGGAGGAGTGTACCATTATTACAGATTTTATCGACTCGAGCTCAACCTTCCCTCTACTCCTTTTTGGTGGACCACCTTTGTGACCACTAGTCCCTGTTGGGGGTCACGGTATCTCCTGCAGGACACGACGAACTACCTGCCTCAACCCCCCTGGAACCCATCCATAACACCCACCCACCCACCCAAGTTTTTAAAAAAGGAAAAACAATTCGAAACGAAATGAGGTAAGTTAAGTTTATGGAACATTGTGTGCACACGAGTAGAGAGGGGCGCACTGAGACCTGACATTTTAAGACTCCTTAAAGAAAAACCTGCAGTATTAAAAAAAAAAAAAATACTTCGAGGTTATTAAGTGACACGTGTTATCGAAAAAAAAATCGTTCACTGCGCCTACAGTGTTGTAATACTGTGAGTGTGTCCGGCGGGAGACTGAAGGGACAATTGTAGTGTTCAGCACGACAAACCCAACTGCCAAGGAAAGGAGCAAGCAGGCTAATGACGCAATAATTAATGTCATATAAACAAAGACTTATCATATTCACAGCCGACTCTCTTATTGTCATCGCAGGGCCGTGGACCACTACTACTTCCGTGGTTGCAGTACAGAGTGGAGGTTGGTAAGTAGCGAACAGCAGTAGTATTGCAGATCGATTAAGGTTAACATGTTGACAGTAGAGCAGTTGGTGTGAGGCTGTCGGCCGCAGATGGCAACTTTTCTACACCTGATTGTTTGGCAACATCTCTTTCAGTTGCATCTTCTCTGACCAAGGTGACTGTAGGACCAAACTCAATGAGCGTCAAGCTCTAGTTCGGAGTTAATCATGTTACGGTTTTCCCCACCCTTTATATGGGTTGGATATAAAACGCCTTAACTTCAATATGAACGTTAATTAATTGGTAATATTTCAACTTCTCGCAACAGTACAGCGTGGGAACAACAAACACTGGCGAGGTTGTCAGCTACACTGCTTCACTGACGTCTTCCACCTGCAGACTGGAGATATAGTGAGGGTGAAGTCTCACCCAAGCTTCAGGCAGCAGAAAACTTGCGCAGTGTGAGGCAGCACCATGACGTCCTGCGCTGCTCTGTTGACCAGTGCACCTTACTAGTGACAGGTGTGAAGTTCTTGCCCTGGGTGTGTTGTTATCTTACAACAGGAGCGATAAGAAAGGAAGAGATGACAGCAAGGGAGAATGATGTCGGCCAAAGTGTAACACAGCTTACTGGTGGTGTGCTGGACACAGCTTCATGGAATGTTGAGTACAATGCTCAAGGTGAGCAGCACGCCATCTACTGTCTTACGTCCACACACCCACCCTGCTTCCACGCATGTCTACATAAACGAACCCTCGCTCCTCCTCCTCCACACCCACCCACCCACTCACCCACCTCCACACATCAACCCTCGTCCCTCCTCAGCCATATGCACCTACTCTCTCCCCTACACCTGTCTACACTCCCTCTTGTCCACCACACACTGGGTGACACAGACCTTCACAGGCTTTCACTCAGTGTTGTCAACTTCAACTATGACTGAGGCTCTAGACTGTGTGGTGACCGTGCTGCAGTAAGTCAACCTTAACTCCTAATTAGATTAACAACTTCTTGTAAGATAAAAGTTGTTTCGTCAGAATATAGCGTGCTCGTGTGTGTGTGTGTGTGTGTGTTTCGTAATAGATGTCCTCAGTTACAATTATATCAAGTGACCTATAAATAGTCTTTGTTATACAGTATATTGTGTAGAGAGCTGAGGTTCTGAGCCCAGGTTCCCATCCTCAGGCAAGAGTCGGCGTTATAATGAATTAAATTGTGAAAATTTGATCATAAATCTGGAGAAAGAGAGATGTGTCTCTCCCGTGTCTCCTGCACGGGGACTCAGTGGACAGTAAACTCACTTGAGGGGCGTTAAGAGGAGGGCACCAGGTCTACCACAGCAACCCCTGGGATGTGCGCTGTTACTCACACACACACACACGAATCAGTAAGCTGTAACACCGAAGTTTACTTCACCTGTCACCCAACAGGGGTAATAAAAATGCTATCTCATTCTCCCCGTACCCTCCACCCCCCCTCCCCAGTTCTCACTCACCCACCACTCATCATCCCTCATTCACCCATCACCCCCCCCATCTTTCCGCACCATCCTCTCTCCCCCTCTCTACTCCCTCCCGCACTCACTTCCAGCTTCACTTGAATGATTACGTCATAATCTCCTCACCCTCCTCCCCCTACCGTCGCTGGGTTACGTAAACCAACATGTTTTGCCCTCTCCTCTCTCCCTCCCCTTTCCACACCCCCTCCCTCTTCAACATCTCCTCTCCTTTTTATCCTTTCCTTTTTTCTCTCTCTCCTCCTCTGTATCTCCTCCTTTATTTGACTTTATACTCTTTCCCTCTCCCTTCTCTTGCTTCTTGTTTCTTTCCATACTCTTCCCCCTTCTCCTCCTACCTCCACCCTCTGTCTTCCTACCCCTGCTTCCTCTCTCTCCCTACCCCTGCTTCCTCTAACCCTCCTACCCATCTAACCCTCCTACCCCTCTAACCCTCCTACTTCTAACCCCTACCCCATGTCCACCAGGAGCCGGGACCTTGTGAGCTGTGTATTAAAGTGACCGACCTTCTCTCTCTCTCTCTTAAATATCCCCCTTACTATTCATGGCTAGCAGTGTGTACTAGTATTTATTGTCTCGTAAAATGAGAAGCTGTGGCAACAATCTATTGACCCTCTAAATATCTATACACACTATATTCTGTATATGATAGTTCACGGTATTGGATGTGTATAGTGTATATTAAAAGATTTCTATAGCGTGTAGTCATAGGTATGTTATACACTGAGATGTTCATAATTATGGATCTCTAGTTACTCATGAAAGAACATATGTTCGTCAGGGTACTCACTTTAGTGCTGAGAGAATGAGATGCGAGAGCGGGGTGAAGGCTGCGGGGTCCTGTGCCAGCTGGCAGATGGCCCGCATGCGGCAATGGTCGTCGTGGACACGCAGGTAGTGGAAATACGCGTCCAGTCGGGAGAGCAGTGGACCGAATTCTCTGTGGACACGACAAGACAGGGAACACATTAGGACATGTAGCACTAAGAGGAAATGGGTAACAGGACATGTCACAGAAGGAACTGTGGCACTGGGACATGCATGTGCTAGATCAATATCCAGGGACATGTGTCATCCGGACATGGCAAGGCAGAGAAAAGTAAATGTAGACGTGAAGTAGAACTATAATTATATATAGACGATAAAATTATTATTCACACAGAGACCAGGAGGAGGAGGAGGAGGAGTAGGATAAGAAGAAGTGAAGGTACTTACTCGTGAGTGCTGTAGTCAGTCAGGTGTGGGTTGTATTTCACCTGGTTGGTCAAGACCTTATCCACCGGCCCTCGGATGTCGAGTGAATTATCCTCCCATGACTTGGATCGACTCCTCCCAGTAATGAAGCTCAACCAACCAGAATTCTTCTTTCCAGCCAATGAATAACGAGATCGGAAGGCAAACGTGGGAAGAAGAAGAGTGATTGGTAGGTAAACTACAAGGTCTGAAAAGAAAAGAGAAATCAAAATTAGTTAACAATCAAAATACAACAGGTGATACTTTTCTTCTAATCTAATGCAGGTAGGATGGTAGGTAAGGGCAGGATGGTAGGTAAGGGCAGGATGGTAGGTAAGGGTAGGATGGTAGGTAAGGGTAGGATGGTAGGTAAGGGTAGGATGGTAGGTAAGGGCAAGATGGGTAGGTGGGCAGGATGGTAGGTAAGGCAGGAGTAGGTAAGGGGGATGGTGGGCAGGATGGTAGGTAAAGGCAGGATGGTAGGTAAGGGTAGGATGGTAGGGGCAGGATGGGGTAGGAAGGTGGGGGGCAAGATGGTGGCAGGGATGGTAGGTAAGGGCAGGATGGTAGGTAGGGTAGGATGGTGGGTGGGCAGGATAGTAGGTAAGGGGCAGGATGGTGGGGTAGATGGTAGGTAGGTGGCAGGATGGTGGGTAAGGGCAGGATGGTAGGTAGGCAGGATGGTAGGTAAGGGCAGGATGGTAGGTAAGGGCAGGATGGTAGGGGCAGGATGGTAGGTAAGGGCAGGATGGTAGGTGGTAGGGATGGTAGGTAAGGGTAGGATGGGGTAGGATGGGTATGGTAAGGATGGTAGGTGGGCAGGATGGTAGGTAAGGCAGGATAGGTAAGGGCAGGATGGTAGGTAGGATGGAGGGCGGGATGGTAGGTAGGTATGGTAGGTAGGATGGTAGGGGCAGGATGGCAAGGTGGGGGCAGGATGGTAGGTAAGGGCAGGATGGTAGGTAAAAGGCAGGTGGGATGGTAGGTAAGGGCAGGATGGTAGGTAAGGGCAGGATGGTAGGTAAGGGCAGGATGGTAGGTAGGAGGGCAGGATGGTAGGTAAAGGCAGGATGGTAGGTAAGGGCAGGATGGTAGGTAAAGGCAGGATGGTAGGTAAGGGCAGGATGGTAGGTAAAGGCAGGATGGTAGGTGGGCAAGATGGTAGGTGCAGGATGGTAGGTAAGGGCAGGATGGTAGGTAAGGGCAGGATGGTAGGTGGGCAGGCTGGTAGGTAAGGGTGGGATGGTAGGTAAGGGTAGGATGGTAGGTAAGGGCAGGATGGTAGGTAAAGGCAGGATGGTAGGTAAGGGCAGGATGGTAGGTAAAGGCAGGATGGTAGGTAAGGGCAAGATGGTAGGTAAGGGCAGGATGGTGGTAAGGGCAGGAGGGCAGGATGGTAGGTAAGGGCAGGATGGTAGGTAAGGGCAGGATGGTAGGTAAGGGCAGGCTGGTAGGTAAGGGCAGGCTGGTAGGTAAGGGTAGGATGGTAGGTAAGGGTAGGATGGTAGGTAAGGGCAAGATGGGAGATGAACAAACAGGTGAAAGTAGAATGGTAGCTACTCGTCATCTCTCTTAGGCACCTTTCCTTTCTTCAAACCCAGTACGTGTAGTCTAGCATAGATACAACATACACACACACACACACACACACACACACACACACACACACACACACACACACGTCTGAAGATGAACACCAGTCGATTAAATGACGCTTTGGTAGAAACAAGTGAAATTTCTTATCGATTTCACACCTATTTTAATCTGTTGAAACCCTCCCAGCGTGTTTAATATAACTACTGGCAATGTCTCCTTCCTGGTACTGGGAGTAAATGTGTTTTTTTAGTGTTTTTTTGTTACTCTCATTTCTGATTCGGTGATACAAGGGAACAATTGGGTAGGTTATCTTGTGATCAGATTATCTTTATAAGCAGTAGAGAGAGAGAGAGAGAGAGAGAGAGAGAGAGAGATTGTCAAGTACACAACATTCCCACTCCCTGGTGCTGATATTAGCGGTCTGGCTGACGTGTTAATCTTCTAACCCGTCCCCAGTACTGCGAACAACTACATTAATCTACCTCTCAAAAAAATCCGACAAATTAAATATTTAAATTAACTTTTACAATCTTATTCCAGTCAGTTCATCTATTCTGACAGTGTCTAGACTATACAGTATTGGAGAACGTTTAAGAGTGGGAGGAAGTGTGTCAGGAGGGAGGAGCTCTTAACCCTCTCGGTGAAAGCACCAAGTAACACCCACACCTCGGCAACAGGTGCTCTTATAAGCTTTCGAGTTCTACATTCACAGTTTAAAGCGTCTGGGGGCCAAGCTGTAAATATGCTCCAGTTGTGTTAATCTCTGGCCAGAATCTATCAAACAGCCGACGAAGGACGCCAGGTTTGTTCTTAGTGTGGCGAGACAATACAGTCTTAACCTCACGCCATAGTGTGTACGACTTTGACCCGTATGTTATGGTGGCGGTGGGGTGGTGGGAGGAGGTGAGGTGGTGGTGGGTGAAGATCCCCCTTGCTTGCAGGTGTGTGGTGGTCAGGCGCTACTCGTATACCGCTGTTAAGTCATTCGTGTGAGTGAAGGTGGACAATTTATCTCAACACTTTGTATCTGATCCACGTATGTTATCTTAAATTTACACTGAGTTTTACTGTTTATTATTTTGATAAATCATAAGTTAATTGTAAGGAATTAATGATATCTATGAAGCATGCCATACCACACGCGACTGGCCGCTCCAAGGCGATGATTGAAGTTGTGTTGTCAGCTTGTGTGTGGGACATACTGGCTGTGTGACATGAATATAACTTATATTGTAACTGACCCGCTCACCAGCCTCCTACGTTGCACTTCTTACCATCCTATACTGACTCGCTCACAGACACACTTTGACTCGCTTACAGACTCACACACATGCTGACTCACTGCACACTGACTCACGCACGTCACTCCCAACAGACAAATATCATCATCCGGGTCCTCAGAGATCTATATGATAACTGACTTACTTTATGGCAACAAGAGAACACAAACCAATACTAAAGTCTTGTAAAAGTTTAAATGTCATTTTGGAATTATCATGATAACGTAACGGAAATAAGTACTGTAAAGCGATTAGATACATTCTCACATCTACGAGACAACTTTACTTAACCAATCACTCCCGAGGTTCCCATTCTGAAAAAAAAGATCTTACAAATTGACTTAATGCCCAATCTACCAACACTTTAATGCCCTATCTACCAACACTTTAATGTCCTATCTACCAACACTTTATTGTTGTTGAGTCATAAATACGCTGTTGTATCCCACATCACCAGTAGTAAGGCAGGAGCGAGGCTGTCTTGCCCCGCCCTGCATACTGAGGCAGAAGTCAAGTTGATCTTGTGTAATTTGCCTGGTGGTACGCGGAAGTGTGGTGGTGGTGTGTGGGTGATGATAGTGGTGGTGTGAAGGAGGTGGTGGTGGTGTGTGGGTAGATGGTGATGTGAGGTGGTGGTGGTGGTGTGAAGGGGGTGATGGTATGTGGGTGATGGTGGTGTGAAGGAGGTGGTGTTGGTGTGTGGGTAGATGGTGGTGTGAGGTGGTGGTGGTGTGTGGGTAGATGGTGGTGTGAGGTGGTGGTGTGGTGTGAAGGGGTGGATAGGTGTGGGTGGATGGTGGTGTGAAGGAGGTGGTGTTGGTGTGGGTAGATGGTGATGGAGGTGGTGGTGGTGGTGTGGAAGGTGATGGTGTGTGGGGTGATGGTGGTGGAGGTGGTGGTGGTGGGTGTGAAGGGGGTGATGGTGTGTGGGTGATGGTAGTGTGGAGGTGGTGGTGGTGTGAAGTGGGGTGATGGTGTGTGGGTGATGGTGGTGGAGGTGGGTGGTAGGTGTGAAGGTGATGGTGTGGGGTGATGGTGGTGTGAGGTGGTGCGGTGGTGTGAAGGGGTGGATGGTGTGTGTGGGGTGATGGTGGTGGAGGTGGTGGTGGTGGTGTGAAGGGGTGGTGGTGTGTGGGTAGATGGTGGTGTGAGGTGGTGGTGGTGGTGTGAAGGGGGTGATGGTGTGTGGGTGATGGTGGTGGTGGTGGTGGTGGTGTGAAGGGGGTGATGGTGTGTGGGGTGATGGTGGTGGAGGGTGGTGGTGGTGTGAAGGGGGTGATGGTGTGTGGGTGATGGGTGGTGTGTGAGGTGGTGGTGTGAAGCAGACGATGGTGGTAGTAGTGGTGGTGGTAATGGTAATATCAAGAAGCAAATGGTGGTGGTGGTAGTATCAAGAGGCAGATGGTAGTAGTAGTAGTAGAAGTAGTAGTATTAGTGGTAGTATCAAGAGGCAGATGGTGGTGGTAATAGTAGTAATAGTAGTAGTGGTGGTGGTGGTGGTTAATAGACTATTGTATTGGTGAATCATTAATTAACTCTTGGCTAGCGGGACCTTGACTCTAATTTATTGGTGAGAGGTTTATATTATTTGTTCACCATACCTGTTCCGAGGAGAGAGAGAGAGAGAGAGAGAGAGAGAGAGAGAGAGAGAGAGAGAGAGAGAGAGAGAGAGAGAGAGAGAGAGAGAGAGAGAGAGAGAGAGAGAGACGTCCTATTTTGTTATGTTAAAAGATAGTGTTAAGACTGTTTCTTCGTACGTGATTTTAAGTTACGAGTTACTGGAGTTGCATTAAAAATAATAATAATAATAATAATAATAATAATAATAATAATAATAGAAAATGATGATAATGATGAATATCTAACACAGTATGGAGCACAGACATCACACCACTACATAACATCCACACCACCACACAACATCCACACACCACCACACACCCCCACACAACATCCTCACACTACCACACAACATCCACACACCACCACACAACATCCACACACCCCCACACAACATCCTCACACACCACCACACAACATCCACACACCACCACACAACATCCACACACCACCACACAACATCCACACACCACGACACAATATCCTCACACCACCACACAACATCCACACACCACCACACAACATCCTCACACTACCACACAACATCCACACACCACCACACAACATCCTCACACTACCACACAACATCCTCACACTACCACACAACATCCACACACTACCACACAACATCCACACACCACCACACAACATCCACACACCACGACACAATATCCTCACACCACCACACAACATCCACACACCACCACACAAC